TTACTTTTCATTAATAAAGATTGATTTGAGTTGATTACAATTTTAGATTTTCATTTTTAATCTGAAAACCATGAATTCACTCAATAAAAAAACTAGTGTCAAATGAAAATCTTTGCCAAAATAAGACAATTTGGCATAGTAAAACAGTAACTAATATGAAAAAAAATGGACATCATTTTTAGATTTGGTGCCTTCAAATTAGCCAAGAAGATTTCATCCTTGCACCAAAATATGTATTGACCAGTATAATTAAAAATAAATTGATTAAATCATATCAAATAAACTATTAGGTTTATTAAAATATATCTAATCTGATAATGCAGCTTAAGCTTAGTTTTAACACAAGGCTGCAAATATGCATCACCTAATGAGGATTGAACTCAATACTCAGTAGAAATGCTCAACAATATAAACTTGATAACCATTACTGTATTAAAATTAGTTTTAATAAAAACAATAAAATTAAAATTGTATGAAGAATAAAAAATTAAAATGTTGGAACTGTGTAAGAATTAATATAGAAACTATTTTTAGTAAAAAAAGATATATAAAAAATATATTTAAAATTAAGAAAATTAGAAATTTACTCACACAGTCTGTTTTAAAAACAAACTGACTAAATGAAGCCAAACAGTTTATATATTTAAAAAAAAAAAACATAAATGAAAATTGATGTGTATATATTTGAACAAAAAAAGCTCCAAACTGATGTCATAAAAAACCCTCCAAAATAAGGCCAGATGGTTTAAACTTTCCATGGCAAAAATTTTACAGGATCGTCCTGGCTTTGATGTTTTCAAAACCAGCTGAATTTGAATTGAAAACTGGCATAGTTTTATTGGATGGTGACTCTCAATTTTTAAACTAATAGTGATACAAAGTATAGACTTTGTATAAGGAAATGATTTACAAGTCAGTTTTGATCCACATATTTGCAATATGAGAGAAATTTAAGACTGCAAATGCAGAAAACGATAGACCAGAAATGGGTAGGCTGACTCAGGCTGCTACTGCTGCTACTGCTGTGGAGAATGGATTAGCCACTTGGGTGAAAGGCTGGCATCAGGTAGAAAACTTTAACTGTCTTGACATGTAAAGTCTGCTGCAGCTGAGAAAAGAAATAGACCATGATGTAACATGGAGTGATAAAAGACTTCAAAGGTGGGCTGAAAAGTTCATAGGCTGACTATAAAGGAGTTATATTTGAGCTCTGAAATCTTGCATGCATTCATTTCAACTCTTCTCATTAATAACTCCATTATTTTTTCTAGGTAAACTGACATCTAACTGTTCAAAGAAAACTTCAAAAGTAACTAGTAGCGACTTCTGTTAAAAATGGACAAAATTTGGCAACATTGTATTATCAAGTACCTGCTGAAAAATTATTAAGCCCCCAAGGACATTGATGGTTGCTACATTAAAAGATGACACTCCAGCTTTATCAACAATGCAAAAGTTGACAGCTGAATTTATGAGGTGAAGGGAGATTCTTGAATGTAACCCAAGGTCTGGACTTCCTGCAAAAGCCACCACTGAGGAAAACATTGACTATAAAGCAAATAGCCAATGTTATTAGCATATCCTGTGTGAGAGTTGAGAATATTTTGCACAGTGAACTTGGTATGACAAACGTTTCTGCTTGATGGATGCCATGGCTTCTGATACCTGATTAAAAGCACACCAGATTGATGACAATACAGGAATATCTGACATTGTTTGAGGCAGATTCAGCTGGTTTCCTTGAATGTTTCCTAACCCAGGATGAGTGTTTGGTTTCGTCACTTTGAACAAGACACAAAGAGACAATCTATGTAGTGGAAACACCCAGCCTCACCTGCTCCAAAAAAGGTCAATGTTGTTTCAGCTGCAGGGAAGGTGACAGTCTCAGTTTTTTGGGATGTAAAGGACATTGTGTCTCTTGACTATCTTCAAAAGATTCACACTATTAATTGATGGTGTAGCCCTTTTGAAGATAGTCAATTAAGTTTGGCCCTATTTTCCAAAATTGATCAAGTTTACCTAATAGTCCAAAAAGTTATGTCAAACCTTATAAAAAGCTTTAGCATAATCTATAAAACATACACTGTAGTAATGGTCAACCAGACTACCTGGTTAACCACTAACCTACACTGAGGCACTACTAAAATACTAAGCTTAATTTAGTTTTAGCACTAGGCCACAAGTATGGAATGCCTAATGAGGACAGAACTCAGTAGTAATGATTAACCAAACCAACTCACTAACCAATACAGCCTTGTGGGTGATGAACTATTTCATTATGAGCCCTTCCCCACAGACTAAATGCCACAAGCCTATCACTACTTTATTGCTGTTTCCATGGGAAATGTTCAGACAAGCTACATTCCTTAGTTTCCCCCAGTTCACACCCTTACAGCTAGGACCCACCATGCCACCTACACAGTGTTGAAGTCCATTGGTGAGAGCTTCTTCCTAAGAACTGTTAGTGGAACAGACTCCCAAGAGGATGCTTCCTCAATCAATACAATATTAACCTCTTCAAGTTTAGAGTTATCTATTCAACAACCTCATTCAGTTACCCTCTACCTTGAGTGGCTCTTGAGCATTGTATTGAGTGAACAACAGCAAAAAATGATCATATATCATTTGAAGCTACTGACCTTTGTATTTCAGCAACTTAACTGTTTATCAAATTTATAATTAAATTAAAATACATCTGGAGACAGTTTAAATCTATAATCGGGAAATTTTATTCAGTGCTTTATATATATATATATATATATATATATATATATATATATATATATATGTGTGTGTGTGTGTGTGTGTGTGTGTGTGTGTGTGTGTTATCATTATATATTTTAGTTTCATGCATGCACGTTGTTTCTTTTGATTTTGTTGACTGCACAGTATAGTAGGGTCAGTTGGGCACAAGAGCATTATGACGCAATTGACTCCACCAGAAATTTGGAAATGGCATGCTGTACTGCTTGGTATTCACACCAGAAGCACCAATACTAGCATTTCAGAGTGTTTGGGTGTCAAACTGAGGACAATGCAAAGAATTAAGAAAGAGTTGGATGAGTCTAATGCTGATTACAAAGGCATGGTAACTTGGAAAACTCACTCTGATCATTCTGATAAGAAAAGAACTCACAGATTTGTTGGTGAGGGCTTCACAAAGCCCTACATCATGTACCTTAAGGAGGCAGTGCTTCCCTGGGTCAAGAGGGTGGCTGCTGGAAGACCCAATATCTGGCAACAGGATTCTGCACCATGCCACACAAGAAGGAGATCCCAGTTATGGTTGTCAGACAATTTTTGCAACCATGTCATGCCTTACATCTGGCCATCTAACTCCCCAAACTTCACCGCCCTTGATTATTATGTGTCAGGCACAGATGAGTGAAAGACCAACAAAACTCCTTGTAACACCAAAGATGAACTGAAGGCAAGGATTATGCAAACATTCACCAACTTAAACAAGGAGACTGTCCAGACAAAGATGCAGGAGATTCCAAAATCGTCTGGAGGCCATGGTTGAGGCCAATGGCAATGTTATTGAATAAATTTACATTTTAGCATTTCAAGATATTTTTGTGTAATTTTGATAAATATATCTGTTAAAATGAGATGATGTCAATGTTATTTTCGTTTTTGCATAATTTAGACGACAATTTATCCATCGCACCCGATATAATTGAGAAAATGTTTAGATTTTATTCAGTGCTTTACATTTATAATATTATTTAATTTTTCTTTTTCTTTTTCTTTTTCTTGAGTTCACCCCAAGCAAGGCAATAAAGCTAGGTTTACAGGGTGTGGAAGAATTAGAAAACATAAATATTACTAAGGAGCAAGGACAAAAGAAGAGTAATCAAAAGACAGAAGATAGTGATTCACATAGCATTTAAATTTTTGAAGATTAAAGTTGGCTGGAAAGCATGGAACCAGAAGAGAGTTCCACAAATGAGAAGTGTGAGAAAAGACACACTTAGCAGAGAACTTACAGTTACATCTAGCCAGCTCAACTACAAATTGATATTCCTCTCAACTATTTCATTGACCAGTACTCACTACTCCCTATTAATGTTCTTCCAATCTAACTCATTAACCAGTACTCACTCCACTTTATTAATGTTCCATCCAATTACCTCATTAACCAGTACACACTCCTCTCTATTAATGTTCCTCCTAACAAGCTTGTTGATCAGTACTCACTCTTCTCTGTTAATGTTCCTCCCATGTAGCTCATTAACCATTACTCACTCCCCTCTATTAATGATCCTCGTATCTAGCTTATTGACCAGTACTCACTCCTCTCTAATAATGTTCCTTGCATGTAGCTCGTTAACCAATACTCACTCCTCTATATTAATGTTCCACCCAATTACCTTGTTGATTAGTACTCACTCCTCTTCATTTGTTTCTCCCAACTAGCTCATTGACCAGTACTCATGCTCTCAATCAATTTTCATCCCAACTTGCTCATTGACCAGTACTCACTCCCCTCTATTAATATTCCTCCCATGTAGCTCATTAAGCATTACTCACTCCTCTCTATAAATGCTCCTCCTATCTAGCTCTTTACCCAGTACTCATTCCTCTCTAGCTTGTTAAATCTTACTCATTCCTCTTTATTAATGTTCCTGCCAACAGCTCATTAACCAGCACTGACTCCTCTCTATTAATGTTCTATCCAATTACCTCATTGACTGTTGCTCACTCCTCTTCATTTATGTTCCTTCCCACTAGCTTGTTGACCAGTACTCACTCCTCTCTATTAATGTTCTATCCAATTACCTCATTGACTGTTGCTCTCCTCTTCATTTATGTTCCTTCCCACTAGCTTGTTGACCAGTACTCCTCCTCTCTATTAATGTTCTATCCAATTACCTCATTGACTGTTGCTCACTCCTCTTCATTTATGTTCCTTTCCACTAGCTTGTTGACCAGTACTCACTCCTCTCTATTAATGTTCTATCCAATTACCTCATTGACTGTTGCACTCCTCTTCATTTATGTTCCTTCCCACTAGCTTGTTGACCAGCACTCACTCCTCTCTATTAATGTTCTATCCAATTACCTCATTGACTGTTGCTCACTCCTCTTCATTTATGTTCCTTCCCACTAGCTTGTTGACCAGTACTCACTCCTCTCTATTAATGTTCTATCCAATTACCTCATTGACTGTTGCTTCTTCATTTATGTTCCTTTCCACTAGCTTGTTGACCAGTACTCCTCCTCTATTAATGTTCTATCCAATTACCTCATTGACTGTTGCTCACTCCTCTTCATTTATGTTCCTTTCCACTAGCTTGTTGACCAGTACTCACTCCTCTCTATTAATGTTCTATCCAATTACCTCATTGACTGTTGCTCACTCCTCTTCATTTATGTTCCTTCCCACTAGCTTGTTGACCAGTACTCACTCCTCTCTATTAATGTTCTATCCAATTACCTCATTGACTGTTGCTCACTCCTCTTCATTTATGTTCCTTTCCACTAGCTTGTTGACCAGTACTACTCCTCTATTAATGTTCTATCCAATTACCTCATTGACTGTTGCTCACTCCTCTTCATTTATGTTCCTTCCCACTAGCTTGTTGACCAGTACTCACTCCTCTCTATTAATGTTCTATCCAATTACCTCATTGACTGTTGCTCCTCCTCTTCATTTATGTTCCTTCCCACTAGCTTGTTGACCAGTACTCCTCCTCTCTATTAATGTTCTATCCAATTACCTCATTGACTGTTGCTCACTCCTCTTCATTTATGTTTCCTTTCCACTAGCTTGTTGACCAGTACTCACTCCTCTCTATTAATGTTTCTATCCAATTACCTCATTGACTGTTGCTCACTCCTCTTCATTTATGTTCCTTCCCACTAGCTTGTTGACCAGTACTCACTCCTCTCTATTAATGTTCTATCCAATTACCTCATTGACTGTTGCTCCTCCTCTTCATTTATGTTCCTTCCCACTAGCTTGTTGACCAGTACTCACTCCTCTCTATTAATGTTCTATCCAATTACCTCATTGACTGTTGTTCTTCATTTATGTTCCTTTCCACTAGCTTGTTGACCAGTACTCACTCCTCTCTATTAATGTTCTATCCAATTACCTCATTGACTGTTGCTCTCCTCTTCATTTATGTTCCTTCCCACTAGCTTGTTGACCAGTACTCCTACCTCTCTATTAATGTTCTATCCAATTACCTCATTGACTGTTGCTCCTCCTCTTCATTTATGTTCCTTCCCACTAGCTTGTTGACCAGTACTCACTCCTCTCTATTAATGTTCTATCCAATTACCTCATTGACTGTTGCTCCTCCTCTTCATTTATGTTCCTTTCCACTAGCTTGTTGACCAGTACTACCCTCTCTATTAATGTTCTATCCAATTACCTCATTGACTGTTGCTCACTCCTCTTCATTTATGTTCCTTCCCACTAGCTTGTTGACCAGTACTCACTCCTCTCTATTAATGTTCTATCCAATTACCTCATTGACTGTTGCTCACTCCTCTTCATTTATGTTCCTTTCCACTAGCTTGTTGACCAGTACTCACTCCTCTCTCCTATTAATGTTCTATCCAATTACCTCATTGACTGTTGCTCACTCCTCTTCATTTATGTTCCTTCCCAAGCTTGTTGGACCAGTACTACTCCTCTCTATTAATGTTCTATCCAATTACCTCATTGACTGTTGCTCACTCCTCTTCATTTATGTTCCTTCCCACTAGCTTGTTGACCAGTACTCACTCCTCTCTATTAATGTTCTATCCAATTACCTCATTGACTGTTGCTCACTCCTCTTCATTTATGTTCCTTCCCACTAGCTTGTTGACCAGTACTACTCCTCTCTATTAATGTTCTATCCAATTACCTCATTGACTGTTGCTCACTCCTCTTCATTTATGTTCCTTAAGCTTGTTGACCAGTCTCCTCCTCTCTATTAATGTTCTATCCAATTACCTCATTGACTGTTGCTCCTCCTCTTCATTTATGTTCCTTTCCACTAGCTTGTTGACCAGTTCACTCCCTCTCTATTAATGTTCTATCCAATTACCTCATTGACTGTTGCTCACTCCTCTTCATTTATGTTCCTTTCCCACTAGCTTGTTGACCAGTACTCACTCCTCTCTATTAATGTTCTATCCAATTACCTCATTGACTGTTGCTACTCCTCTTATTTATGTTCCTTCCCACTAGCTTGTTGACCAGTACTCCTCCTCTCTATTAATGTCTATCTATCCAATTACCTCATTGACTGTTGCTCACTCCTCTTCATTTATGTTCCTTCCCACTAGCTTGTTGACCAGTACTCACCTCTCTATTAATGTTCTATCCAATTACCTCATTGACTGTTGCTCCTCCTCTTCATTTATGTTCCTTCCCACTAGCTTGTTGACCAGTACTCACTCCTCTCTATTAATGTTCTATCCAATTACCTCATTGACTGTTGCTCACTCCTCTTCATTTATGTTCTTTCCACTAGCTTTGTTGACCAGTACTCCTCCTCTCTATTAATGTTCTATCCAATTACCTCATTGACTGTTGCTCACTCCTCTTCATTTATGTTCCTTCCCACTAGCTTGTTGACCAGTACTCACTGTTGCTCCTCTCTATTAATGTTCTATCTACCTCATTGACTGTTGCTCACTCCTCTTCATTTATGTTCCTTCCCACTAGCTCGTTGACCAGTACTCACTCCCCTCTCTATTAATGTTCTATCCAATTACCTCATTGACTGTTGCTCCTCCTCTTCATTTATGTTCCTTCCCACTAGCTCGTTGACCAGTACTCACTCCCTCTCTATTAATGTTCTATCCAATTACCTCATTGACTGTTGCTCACTCCTCTTCATTTATGTTCCTTTCCCACAGCTTTTAGTACTTCCTATTAATGTTCTATCCAATTACCTCATTGACTGTTGCTCACTCCTCTTCATTTATGTTCCTTCCCACTAGCTTGTTGACCAGTACTCACTCCTCTCTATTAATGTTCTATCCAATTACCTCATTGACTGTTGCTCACTCCTCTTCATTTATGTTCCTTCCCACTAGCTTGTTGACCAGTACTCACTCCTCTCTATTAATGTTCTATCCAATTACCTCATTGACTGTTGCTCACTCCTCTTCATTTATGTTCCTTTCCACTAGCTTGTTGACCAGTACTCACTCCTCTCTATTAATGTTCTATCCAATTACCTCATTGACTGTTGCTCACTCCTCTTCATTTATGTTCCTTCCCACTAGCTTGTTGACCAGTACTCACTCCCTCTCTATTAATGTTCTATCCAATTACCTCATTGACTGTTGCTCACTCCTCTTCATTTATGTTCCTTTCCACTAGCTTGTTGACCAGTACTCACTCCTCTCTATTAATGTTCTATCCAATTACCTCATTGACTGTTGCTCACTCCTCTTCATTTATGTTCCTTCCCACTAGCTTGTTGACCAGTACTCACTCCTCTCTATTAATGTTCTATCCAATTACCTCATTGACTGTTGCTCACTCCTCTTCATTTATGTTCCTTCCTACTAGCTTGTTGACCAGTACTCATTGACTCCTCTCTATTAATGTTCTATCCAATTACCTCATTGACTGTTGCTCACTCCTCTTCATTTATGTTTCCTTCCCACTAGCTTGTTGACCAGTACTCACTCCTCTCTATTAATGTTCTATCCAATTACCTCATTGACTGTTGCTCACTCCTCTTCATTTATGTTCCTTCCCACTAGCTTGTTGACCAGTACTCACTCCTCTCTATTAATGTTCTATCCAATTACCTCATTGACTGTTGCTACTCCTCTTCATTTATGTTCCTTTCCACTAGCTTGTTGACCAGTACTCACTCCTCTCTATTAATGTTCTATCCAATTACCTCATTGACTGTTGCTCACTCCTCTTCATTTATGTTCCTTTCCACTAGCTTGTTGACCAGTACTCACTCCTCTCTATTAATGTTCTATCCAATTACCTCATTGACTGTTGCTCACTCCTCTTCATTTATGTTCCTTCCCACTAGCTTGTTGACCAGTACTCACCCTCTCTATTAATGTTCTATCCAATTACCTCATTGACTGTTGCTCCTCCTCATTTATTCATTTATGTTCCTTCCCACTAGCTTGTTGACCAGTACTCCTCCTCTCTATTAATGTTCTATCCAATTACCTCATTGACTGTTGCTCACTCCTCTTCATTTATGTTCCTTCCCACTAGCTTGTTGACCAGTACTCACTCCTCTCATTATTAATGTTCTATCCAATTACCTCATTGACTGTTGCTCACTCCTCTTCATTTATGTTCCTTTCCACTAGCTTGTTGACCAGTACTCACTCCTCTCTATTAATGTTCTATCCAATTACCTCATTGACTGTTGCTCACTCCTCTTCATTTATGTTCCTTCCCACTAGCTTGTTGACCAGTACTCATTGACTCCTCTCTATTAATGTTCTATCCAATTACCTCATTGACTGTTGCTCACTCCTCTTCATTTATGTTCCTTCCCACTAGCTTGTTGACCAGTACTCACTCCTCTCTATTAATGTTCTATCCAATTACCTCATTGACTGTTGCTCACTCCTCTTCATTTATGTTCCTTCCCACTAGCTCGTTGACCAGTACTCACTCCTCTCTATTAATGTTCTATCCAATTACCTCATTGACTGTTGCTCACTCCTCTTCATTTATGTTCCTTCCCACTAGCTTGTTGACCAGTACTCACTCCTCTCTATTAATGTTCTATCCAATTACCTCATTGACTGTTGCTCACTCCTCTTCATTTATGTTCCTTTCCACTAGCTTGTTGGACCAGTACTCACCTCTCTATTAATGTTCTATCCAATTACCTCATTGACTGTTGCTCACCTCCTCTTCATTTATGTTCCTTCCCACTAGCTTGTTGGACCAGTACTCACTCCTCTCTATTAATGTTCTATCCAATTACCTCATTGACTGTTGCTCACCTCTTCATTTATGTTCCTTCCCACTAGCTTGTTGACCAGTACTCACCTCTCTATTAATGTTCTATCCAATTACCTCATTGACTGTTGCTCACTCCTCTTCATTTATGTTCCTTCCCACTAGCTTGTTGACCAGTACTCACTCCTCTCTATTAATGTTCTATCCAATTACCTCATTGACTGTTGCTCACTCCTCTTCATTTATGTTCCTTCCCACTAGCTTGTTGACCAGTACTCACTCCTCTCTATTAATGTTCTTCCCAACTAGCTCATTAACCAGCACTCCACACTGAGGTGATCCTTAAATACTAAACATAGATTCATTTTGACACAAGGCCATAAGTGTGGCCTCCCAATGTTCCTATTGGTAGTAATAGTCAACCAGTCTCTTGGTTTTACTACACGGAGCACCCCAGTCTCTGTAAATATTGTGTAGGGGAGTTATAACTCTGAGTAGATAATTATAAACCCCCTATATATATAAATACTCATAAAAATATGAAACAGCAAGACATGGAAACAACAAAACGAGTATTATTTATTATCTGGTTGTTATGGGGTGTTAGAGAAATGAGAGACAGTAATATTGAGTAAAATTATGAATTTGGGGTCAAATGTAGTTCAAATATAGATCAAAATCCAACAGACTGATAAGATGAAGAATAAATAAACTGTATACAGTCTTTCTCATATGCCTTAGATGTGTGTAATGAGCATCCAGATAATTTAGATGGAAAAA